TTTTCAGCTTGCTTTTACTGGATCAACAGAGACTGGAAAAATTGTACTTCAATTGTCTGCTCAAAGTAATCTTAAGCCAGTGACTTTGGAACTTGGTGGGAAATCCCCTTTCATTGTATGTGAGGATGCTGATGTAGATAAGGCTGTTGAGCTGGCACACTTTGCTCTATTCTTTAACCAGGTATCTACATTTGTTGTTTTCAAAGGGTGTAGTGAATCATTGCAAATAATATGTTTTAACAAATTTCATTCTATTTGCAGGGACAATGCTGCTGTGCTGGCTCTCGCACATTTGTTCACGAACGTGTATATGATGAATTTGTAGAAAAAGCAAAGGCACGGGCAATGCAACGGGCTGTTGGTGATCCATTCAAGCAGGGAATTGAACAAGGTCCTCAGGTAAATCAGCACAGATTGCTTTACATTATGTTCCTCTTCTAATTTAATTATCTGTGCAGTATTTGTTTGGAATATGGTTATTAATGTTAGAGCATCCAACCGAAAACCAATTGATTACATATAAACCTACCTTGGGTGGGCCTATTTTTTCAATGTGGGATACACTTTCTTTACACCCTCATTTACGTGGGACCTAGACTAGCACGCAGGGCTAACAAACAAACAACAATCCATAGCAAGATATTCAAATGGGTAGGAGATTTGACCCACTGACCACCCAAGACCCAACACTAATACCAAGTTAGAGCATCCAAGCCAAAACCAAGGGGCTTTGAGTGGAGTGGTTCCTTAAGCACATAAACCAATATTGAGTGTCCTTATTATTAAATGTGGGATACAAACTCTCTTTACAATTAGATCATTTCAAATCAAACTTTTGCTAGAATTGAAGAATGTAGTGGAAAACCAGTCACTTGCTGTGTTTATTTTACAAGAAAACAATGATAAAATGAATCAATTTGATATGCATGGTGAATTATGCTTTTAACTCGCAAAACACATTTTTCTTACTATGGCTTAGTACTCCAAAGTTCCTACATGGAATTGGGGGGTTTTCGAAATAGTTAATTACTAATTTTAGCGTTCTTGAATCAGGTTGACTCTGATCAATTTGAGAAGATTCTGAAGTACATAAGATCTGGTATCGAGAGCGGAGCTAATCTTGAAACCGGAGGTGAGCAACTAGGCGGTAAGGGCTACTATATTAAGCCCACTGTTTTCTCTAATGTTCAGGTATGCCTCTTTACTCCCCCAACAGTATACCGATAACCATTTTTATATCCTCAAATTAACTTATCATTTTGTCTAACACGATCTGAGTTATTTTAGGATGACATGTTGATTGCAAAGGATGAGATCTTTGGTCCTGTGCAGTCAATCTTGAAGTACAAGTGAGTAACTAAAAAATTTAACGACATCTCATTGCAAGAGTGTTTGGTGTCTTAACTTGCACCATTTATCTGGGGAGTGCAGGGATCTTGATGAAGTGATACGAAGGGCAAATGCCTCGCCCTATGGACTGGCCGCAGGGGTTTTTACCCAGAACATCGACACAGCCAACACTTTGATGCGAGCATTGAAAGTTGGGACAGTATGGATTAATTGCTTCGATACTTTTGATGCTGCAATTCCTTTTGGTGGGTACAAGATGAGTGGGCAGGGCAGAGAAAAGGGAGAATACAGTCTCAAGAACTACTTGCAAGTGAAGGCTGTTGTTACTCCATTGACAAATCCAGCATGGTTGTAGATCTCTTTTTTTTTATTTTGACGCTGTTGAAAATAATGATGGTGATGACGACGATGATAAGATCATGGACTCTGGTTTCCTCCTCATGTTGGAAAGGAAGGATAGACTATGTTGAGCTCCATGGTTGAGAGTAAAGAATGCTGCGTCATTTTCTGTACGAGTGTTTTATAATGCTCTTTTCAATACCGAGGTAATAATAACAATATTGTTTTGAATATATAAGTGTCGTTTGTAACATGATTAGATTGGGTTTTGGTAACTTATTGAAGTCGTTAATTCTAGCAAACAATCCACTTAACCTCATTGTTTGTGGTATAAATCGAGTTGTCGTAAAGAATAGTAACTCGGGCTCTCTTTTGTTTATATAAAATTAATTGTACCCATTTATATACTTTTATTAATTTTTGTTTTTTACTTTTATTTGATTTTTAATTTTTTTTAACTCTTTTACAAAAACTTCTAAATTCTTTTGGACTCATTTATTAGTAATACAATTATATACAATCATCTATGTGAATAAATAAAGTCATGTACATGTGTGTTAAATTATTATACACGGGTAGTTATCAAATTGAGTTTTATAGTCAAATATATGTTATATTTTTTTTTTTTAGTATGCAATAGTATAATAATATTATAAATAATCTAATCAATTTATTTAACAAAATAAAAAATAATAATTCTATAATATAATTAACTGTACTAATGCCTAAAATAAATAATAGGTTAAATACTTCAAACTTATAGAATAAACTAATAATAATTAAAATATAGATTAACTAGTCATTACCTGTGTCTAAAGGCACTATATAACAAACAAAAAATTCTTACACAATTGTCCAAATTAAAAAATAATGGTCTAAAAATTTTCATAGCAATTCTTCTTTTAAAATAAATCAAAATATATTGTCGATCATACTCTCCATATTAATAGAATTGTCGTAAAAATATATAAAACTCTTCAAAATAATATCACATATACAAATGCCTCCGAAAAAAAATATTAACTTAATCCATCACCTTTACCACTACTCAATTCAATAACAAAATATAATTATAAACGCAATCATCATATTTTCAATCCACCTTATTCCCATGTAATAAATANGTAGAGTATGATGGGCCTTTCTGGTTAGTTGGATGAGCATGCACTAAAATTCGCTTTATTAGATACAGTTAGATTCGCTTGCATCTTATGGCCACTAAACAAAGGCATTCTAACCAAATATTTCTTTAGTATGGATATTTTTTAAAGCTGCTCCATTGCACTTACCTCTAAATCAATTTTGTTACTGTCTTTTCAGCTTGCTTTTACTGGATCAACAGAGACTGGAAAAATTGTACTTCAATTGTCTGCTCAAAGTAATCTTAAGCCAGTGACTTTGGAACTTGGTGGGAAATCCCCTTTCATTGTATGTGAGGATGCTGATGTAGATAAGGCTGTTGAGCTGGCACACTTTGCTCTATTCTTTAACCAGGTATCTACATTTGTTGTTTTCAAAGGGTGTAGTGAATCATTGCAAATAATATGTTTTAACAAATTTCATTCTATTTGCAGGGACAATGCTGCTGTGCTGGCTCTCGCACATTTGTTCACGAACGTGTATATGATGAATTTGTAGAAAAAGCAAAGGCACGGGCAATGCAACGGGCTGTTGGTGATCCATTCAAGCAGGGAATTGAACAAGGTCCTCAGGTAAATCAGCACAGATTGCTTTACATTATGTTCCTCTTCTAATTTAATTATCTGTGCAGTATTTGTTTGGAATATGGTTATTAATGTTAGAGCATCCAACCGAAAACCAATTGATTACATATAAACCTACCTTGGGTGGGCCTATTTTTTCAATGTGGGATACACTTTCTTTACACCCTCATTTACGTGGGACCTAGACTAGCACGCAGGGCTAACAAACAAACAACAATCCATAGCNACTGTACTAATGCCTAAAATAAATAATAGGTTAAATACTTCAAACTTATAGAATAAACTAATAATAATTAAAATATAGATTAACTAGTCATTACCTGTGTCTAAAGGCACTATATAACAAACAAAAAATTCTTACACAATTGTCCAAATTAAAAAATAATGGTCTAAAAATTTTCATAGCAATTCTTCTTTTAAAATAAATCAAAATATATTGTCGATCATACTCTCCATATTAATAGAATTGTCGTAAAAATATATAAAACTCTTCAAAATAATATCACATATACAAATGCCTCCGAAAAAAAATATTAACTTAATCCATCACCTTTACCACTACTCAATTCAATAACAAAATATAATTATAANAAGTTAGAGCATCCAAGCCAAAACCAAGGGGCTTTGAGTGGAGTGGTTCCTTAAGCACATAAACCAATATTGAGTGTCCTTATTATTAAATGTGGGATACAAACTCTCTTTACAATTAGATCATTTCAAATCAAACTTTTGCTAGAATTGAAGAATGTAGTGGAAAACCAGTCACTTGCTGTGTTTATTTTACAAGAAAACAATGATAAAATGAATCAATTTGATATGCATGGTGAATTATGCTTTTAACTCGCAAAACACATTTTTCTTACTATGGCTTAGTACTCCAAAGTTCCTACATGGAATTGGGGGGTTTTCGAAATAGTTAATTACTAATTTTAGCGTTCTTGAATCAGGTTGACTCTGATCAATTTGAGAAGATTCTGAAGTACANACTAATATAACGCAGTTAAATTCATAATTTTAAAACGAAAAAAAAAATCAACTAAATCTTACTTGTTTATAAAATTTATGAATTTATCACCACTATCATCATTCAACCCCAAATGAAACAATAAAATTATAAATTTAATTACCAATTTTTCAATCCTCCACATATAAATATACTCTCACATATTTATTTTTTGGCTACTAACAAACATTTCTAACCAATAACTGTTTTTATTATAAGAGATAGAAGTGTTAGAGTTAAGTCCAATTATGATCATCAGATCAGTATTTATAAGATGATTTGAACTTTGTCTGTTGTCTGTTAGATGTGTTTCTGGTTTGTTTTAAAACGATGTGGATTTCTCTTTGTCTCTAAACTCAAACTCAGCTCTATTTTATTTTATAGATTATTTGATATTTAATTTAATTACACGTATAATTCACTTTTTTTTTAAAAAACTATTGTTTAAATTTATGTACGAACGTCGTGTGTTTCAAGTCAAGATAAATGCAGGAAAAGACATGATCCAGAAATTTTGGTGTAGCTTTAGAATGAAACATTTTTTTATTATATACAACATTAAGGAAGAAGGATTTGGATCTGGATGGTTGCATATGGTTTGTGATTGGTCTGAATAATTTTAAATGGCCATTGTGAATAAATCAAATTTTGATTTGAATCACAACTCTGATTTGGATAACACAATTAGAGTGAAATTTCAAGAAATAATTTAATCATGTATATGTAATTCTGGATCATATAAGGGAATGGTATATATCAAAAGCTTAATCAATTAAAAATAACATATTATATTTTAATTTGGGTAAAAACTTAATGGTCCAAAATTGAATATTTTGTCATGATCACCGTGAAAAACATTTATTTTTGGCCTAAGAAGCAAATAATGTGCCAACCAATATAATTTTTATTTTTTTTTCACTATTTCATTAAATCAACCGTTAACCCTCTTCCGCACCATAGAATAAANCGTAACCTCATTGTTTGTGGTATAAATCGAGTTGTCGTAAAGAATAGTAACTCGGGCTCTCTTATGTTTATATAAAATTAATTGTACCCATTTATATACTTTCATTAATTTTTGTTTTCTACTTTTATTTGATTTTTATTTTTTTTAACTCTTTTACAAAAATTTCTAAATTCTTTTGGACTCATTTATTAATAATACAATTATATACAATCATCTATTTGGATAAATAAAGTCATGTACATGTGTGTTAAATTATTATACACGGGTAGTTATCAAATTGAGTTTTATAGTCAAATATATGTTATATTTTTTTTTTTTAGTATGCAATAGTATAATAATATTATAAATAATCTAATCAATTTATTTAACAAAATAAAAAATAATAATTCTATAATATAATTAATTGTACTAATGCCTAAAATAAATAATAGGTTAAATACTCAAAACTTATAGAATAAACTAATAATAATTAAAATATAGATTAACTAGTTATTACCTGTGCCTGAAGGCACTATATAACAAACAAAAAATTCTTCAACAATTGTTCAAATTAAAAAATAATGGTCTAAAAATTTTCATAGTAATTCTTCTTTTAAAATAAATCAAAATATATTGTCGATCATACCTTTCATATTAATAGAACTGTCATAAAAATATATAAAACTCTTCAAAATAATATCACATATACAAATGCCTCCGAAAAAAAAATACTAACTTAATCCATCACCTTTACCACTACTCAATTCAATAACAAAATATAATTATAAACGCAATCATCATATTTTCAATCCACCTTATTTTCATGTAATAAATATCTCAAGCAAAAAAAAAAAAACTAATATAACGCAGTTAAATTCATAATTTTAAAACGAAAAAAAAATCAACAAAATCTTACTTATTTATAAAATTCATGAATTTATCACCACTATCATCATTCAACCCCAAATGAAACAATAAAATTATAAATTTAATTACCAAATTTTCAATCCTCCACATATAAATATATACATAAATATACTCTCACATATTTATTTTTTGGCTACCAACAAACATTTCTAACCAATAACTGTTTTTATTATAAGAGATAGAAGTGTTAGAGTTAAGTCCAATTATGATCATCAGATCAGTATTTATAAGATGATCTGAACTTTGTATGTTGTCTGTTAGATGTGTTTCTGTTTTGTTTTAAAATGATGTGGACTTTTCTTTGTCTCTAAACTCAAACTCAGCTCTATTTTATTTTATAGATTATTTGATATTTAATTTAATTACACGTATAATTCATTTTTTTTTATAAAAACTATTGTTTAAATTTATGTACGAACGTCGTGTGTTTCAAGTCAAGATAAATGCAGGAAAAGACATGATCCAGAAATCTTGGTGTAGCTTTAGAATGAAACATTTTTTATTATATACAACATTAAGGAAGAAGGATTTGGATCTGGATGGTTGCATATGGTTTGTGATTGGTCTGAATAATTTTAAATGGCCATTGTGAATAAATCAAATTTTGATTTGAATCACAACTCTGATTTGGATAACACAATTAGAGTGAAATTTCAAGAAATAATTTAATCATGTATATGTAATTCTGGATCATATAAGGGAATGGTATATATCAAAAGCTTAATAATCAATTAAAAATAACATATTATATTTTAATTTGGGTAAAAACTTAATGGTCCAAAATTGAATATTTTGTCATGATCACCGTGAAAAACATTTATTTTTGGCCTAAGAAGCAAATAATGTGCCAACCAATATAATTTTTATTTTTTTTTCACTATTTCATTAAATCAACCGTTAACCCTCTTCCGCACCATAGAATAAAATTCGATTAAACTCCACGAATGGAAAGGTGGAAAGCAATTCCACCAACAATTAATTATGTTGGATCTTTTAAGTAAGTAATGAAAAGTTTTTTATTCCTAAAGTNTTGAATTTTTATTGGAAGAGGACGATGAAGTTTAATTTCAAAACTTAACAATCTAAAGACGGCATGTAGTGGTCAGGTCATTAAATCAACCGTTAACCCTCTTCCGCACCATAGAATAAAATTCGATTAAACTCCACGAATGGAAAGGTGGAAAGCAATTCCACCAACAATTAATTATGTTGGATCTTTTAAGTAAGTAATGAAAAGTTTTTTATTCCTAAAGTGAATTAATCACTTTTAAAGTAGGCCGTTACGGGCTTGTACGTTTTTAAGTTCCCGGAGTAACAACGGGCCCTCATCTAGATTGGCTGGCCATTAGGCTTATTTTATTTTTAAAAAACAATATTTGGNCTTTTTAAGTTCCCGGAGTAACAAACGGGCCCTCATCTAGATTGGCCATTAGGCTTATTTTATTTTTAAAAAACAATATTTGACAGGGGGAGCATTAGCTGTCAGCTTGTCAAATTATTCAAATATTCTAATCCGATCAAGTAATTAATTGGAAAACCTCGTGCCCAAAAACCAACGTGTAGCTAAACTAGGAGTAGCGGTCGAAGATACTGTGTTCTTCGAAAGCTTGAGTTTTTTCTCTGCTTTCTTTAATGGCGGCCCGAAGGATCTCATCACTTCTCTCTCGCTCATTCACCTCTTCATCGGTTGCTTTTGTTTCTCGAGGTAGAAACAGAGACCGTCCATTTGTATTGTCTAGCTCTACTGTTTGTTCTGTATCTATCTGTTGTTTTTTAAATTCTGTTATGCTCTTATCTGCTCTGTAATTTATGACAGAGGAAGGTAGATTTCGGATTTCGTGGCCAAAGTTTTTTTCTTGCATTTAGAGAATTGCCATACTTTTTGATCAAACTCAAGACATGTTGTTTCTTTAGGGAAGAACTCTTACCTAGGCACAGGAACTTGTAACTATAGCACAGCTGCTGCTATTGATGAGCCAATCAAGCCACCAGTCAGTGTAGATCATAATCAGCTTCTTATAAATGGACAGTTTGTGGACGCAGCATCCGGTGAGCTTTCATCTGTATGTTGGAACATTTCACTCTTTCATGTAATCAGCGTCTACAGTTCTTCATCCCTTGATATTGTAGTTCTAGTGTTCTACGATTTCTTCCAACAGTAATCCATTTAAAGGAACTTATGGCTGAAGTTTTCTCTACCATCAGGAAAAACTTTTCCAACTTTGGACCNATATTTCACTCTTTCATGTAATCAGCGTCTACAGTTCTTCATCCCTTGATATTGTAGTTGTTCTAGTGTTCTAAGATTTCTTCCGACAATAATCCATTTAAAGGAACTTATGGCTGAAGTTTTCTCTACCATCAGGAAAAACTTTTCCAACTTTGGACCCTAGGACAGGGGAGGTGATTGCTCATGTTGCCGAAGGTGATGTAGAAGACATCAATCGAGCAGTTGCTGCAGCTCGCAAAGCTTTTGATGAAGGACCATGGCCAAAAATGACTGCTTATGTAGACAATCTCTCCTATTAATAGTTAATATCTTTTGCATGCATCGCATGATGGAACTCCTTCTAATAATTTCGTTTGACTCGTGAAGGAAAGATCAAGGATAATGTTGCGCTTTGCAGACTTGGTTGAGAAGCATAATGATGAAATTGCAGCACTTGAGACTTGGGACAATGGGAAGCCATACGAACAATCCGCTAGTATTGAAGTACCAATGTTTGTACGCCTAATGCGATATTATGCTGGTATGTCAAAGGTGAATTTAAGCCAAATGCTTCTGCATTCCTTTTATTTTACAATCCCACATATATTTACAAACATTCGCTGATATCTATCTAAATATTCTACAGGTTGGGCAGATAAAATTCATGGTCTCACCCTTCCTGCTGATGGACCGTATCATGTGCAAACTTTGCATGAACCAATTGGTGTTGCCGGCCTGATTATCCCGTGGAATTTTCCTCTTCTCATATATGCTTGGAAAGTTGGGCCTGCCCTAGCCTGTGGTAACACTGTTGTTCTGAAGACAGCAGAACGGACGCCACTGTCTGCTCTATATGTATCAAAGCTATTCCATGAGGTAGTATATCATTTAAGATTCCCTTCTCCTTGTTCTTATTAGCATGGGCCTTTGCTGAAATGGTCTGCTGTAGTTCACTGACACATAATTGAACACCTAGCTGCAATCAGCGCATACCATCAGCAACTTGCTCTTAATTTTGGTAGCACTTTAGGTAGTTCTTTATTTGTTTTTGGTAAATTAATATCTAAGCTGGTTCAAGGGTCATCTAATCTAAAGATTGTGTAATATCAGAAAATCTGTTTTTTTTTAATGGAGACTCCGTGCAGTCCAATGTACAAAGTATGCGTAGCAGCATCTTAAACATGCATAAAGAACAGAAAATTTGATTTGGTTTACATTATGTCATGAATGGATCACACTAGATTTGTGTCCAGGATGCTTTTATATGTATTTTAATTGGAAAAAAATATTACATGATTGCTTGTGGTGACTTCATCTTCTGGAGTCAATTGAGTTTTTAATTTTGTTTCTTTTGTGCTGATGATGCCTATAAATGTTATCATGATATCTATTCTTGTTTGATAATATTGGCGACAGGCGGGGCTTCCTTCTGGCGTTTTGAATGTGGTTTCTGGCTTTGGTCCCACTGCTGGGGCAGCTCTTTGCAGTCATATGGATGTGGACAAGGTAATCTACATATGTAAATGTTCTTACTGTGGTGTGTGGTCCTTTAAGAATTTCTGTTCAGGTTGAAAACTGCGATTTCATGGCTAGGCTTGTTTTCTCCCATGACATTGTTGTACTATGGGATACGCTTGCGTTTGACTTCAAGGACAGTTGCTTGACCACACTGCATGATACCCCAGAATGAATCCATACGTGGTTTTGAGTTGGATTGAGGCATGCTATTACCTCAAAATTCTCCAATTCCAATATCATACCCCTGATTCTGGGGTTGATCCATGTGAAGGGGTATGAGATATGGACCATATGGTATTCTACAAAGAGGAAGTATCATTGGGTGGCTATGATATCACTCTTGAATACGCTGGCATTTTTTTGCTCATTAGTGTATGTGCGACTAGCAAGAAATTTTCCATAGCTTATGAATGTCAAATTTATACTTTTATTTGGAAACATGCATGGTGTTATAAGACTCAACTCAATAAAGCCTTGCTTCAACTACCTGGTTTGGCCGCATGAGGTTTCAAATTCTTTTCTGTTATGAGTTGAATTGGGGCAAGTTTTGTTGATTACGATTGAGCTCACTTGGCTTGCACTTTCTGTAGATAACNGCGACTAGCAAGAAATTTTCCATAGCTTATGAATGTCAAATTTATACTTTTATTTGGAAACATGCATGGTGTTATAAGATTCAACTCAATAAAGCCTTGCTTCAACTACCTGGTTTGGCCGCATGAGGTTTCAAATTCTTTTCTGTTATGAGTTGAATTGAGGCAAGTTTTGTTGATTACGATTGAGCTCACTTGGCTTGCACTTTCTGTAGATAACATACCATGCTTCATAATGTGGATATCTTGATATTGTAGGTCACCATGATATTCCCCTGCTTATCAGATAGATGGAGAAAAAATTGGACATATTTAAGTTCAAGGAATAGGTTTTGATGTATTCATTTTATAGCACAAAATGATCATATTCATTTTGGTGCTTTGAATAATGCTACCCTCTTGAACAAAAAATAAAATAAAATATCATAATGCCACCCTTAGATAGAAAAGGTGAATGTACAAGTTNTTAAGTTCAAGGAATAGGTTTTGATGTATTCATTTTATAGCACAAAATGATCATATTCATTTGATGTATTCATTTTGGTGCTTTGAATAATGCTACCCTCTTGAACAAAAAATAAAATAAAATATCATAATGCCACCCTTAGATAGAAAAGGTGAATGTACAAGTTTTTAGTTTGTCCTAGACAACAGGCTAGGGTTTTTTTTGTTAAGGTGCATTGTGATGTGGTAATCACAAAGTTGACCAAGACACAGCACCTGTGACCTGTGATGTTCATGATATGAATTAAATAAAACCAGTCAGCGACACACTTGGTGTGCTACAATCTTTGTATGGATCCACTGTGAAGTCATGAAGCAGGCCAATCATGTAAAGGAATTAGCAATACCCATGTTGCTGAACAACTTAGGCCTCTTGGAAGGTCATATTAAGTAGTTGACTTTCAACTTTGTTGTATTTGGAATGCTAAAATTTATTGTAGCATCGATGGGGTAACATGCTTGTTACCAAATTATTATTATTATTTTTGGTCTTTGTTGCCAAATTATTGATGGAGTGTTGGTGGGAGGGATGAAAAAATGGAAGTAAAGAAATTAGGAGGGATGGATTTTCCATTCGTAGAGGAAAGAAATGCTAGTTCCCCCATTGTTGTTTGGAGGGAGGGGGAGGGGGGGAAGAAAATTACTATTTTTCTTAGTATAAAATTTTGTATTTCTGATGTCATCTTTTTTTCTTGATACTTGTGCTTGCAGACAAGTGATTAGTGTTGTTTAAAAAATATTTTATTTGAATAGTTTTTTGTGCATTCTCTTACTGGTATTATTATAATAATTATTAATAAGGGATAAAAATGTAAAATCCATGTTTGGCTTATATTAACCGCTTCTTTCCATTCACTTTCCACCCAAAATTGGGAGGAAAAGTTTTGGTGGATAGGAGTATAGCTTTTCCCTCCCACTTTCCTCTCCCTCTTATTTTCCACCTACACCAAATCGTGGAAAACCCTCCCTTCCATCCTACTTTTCATCCTCCTTTTCCATCCACCCCACTTTCCACCATACCAAACATAGGGTGATCTTCACACTAGATTTGCCAACAATTTATTGATCTTCCAAAATTGTTGGTACAACAATGTGGAAATCTAACTGGTGTACATGGTCAGGCTTGAAGCTATTATTAAGTTCAATGTTTGGGGTTTTGAACCTACTCTTGGAAATTACTATATGTTAAAACAGTGATAAGCTAGAGCTCAGTCTCATTCTGTCAGTGGTTTCATGTAGCTTCAGCTGTCCTTCAAGTCATGGCATTGCAGCTCATCCCTGAACTCATCGACTCAATTTGGATTATGGAGACCTATTTTGACCTCTTGCTACTGTTTACTACTACTTTCAAATATTACTTTCTGGAGCCTATCTTAGCTTTCCCATGAGAGAAGTTTTCATGTATTTCTTAACATAGTTTCATAATCTTATGGTGGACAGTTTAATGTTTGGATTGAAAAAAAAAATAGTTTGATTGGTGAAAGAGAGAGAGAGGAAGAAAGAAGATTCACTGAACTTGTCTTTCCTCTTCCTGTCATTTTTGTTTTGTAATTATACTTGTACAGAGTGCTACATTTCCAACCTTCATGAAATTTAGGCAATTTCAATTTCTCCTTTTGGACAGAGGGTATAGTTTTGGAATTCTAGCACCATGAGGTTTTGTCTTTTGAAGTTTTGATGATGGAGAAATGCCCCAACCACGCATATTTTGGACTCTTTCTATAACACAAACTCCAGATGCACGCTATCACCCACAAGTCACAGACATCAGCTAAAGCAGGCTCTCTTGCCAATGTCAAACTTAAGATCTTGAGATAGTAACCCCTAAAGTCCCTAACAGGTATAGTATCATGGGCCTTTCTGGTTAGTTGGATGAGCAAGTACTAAAATTTGCTTTATTAGATACAGTTAGATTCGCTTGCATCTTGTGGCCACTGAACAAAGGCATTCTAACCAAATATTTCTTTAGTATGGATATTTTTTAAAGCTGCTCCATTGCACTTACCCCTAAATCAATTTTGTCACTGTTTTCAGCTTGCTTTTACTGGATCAACAGAGACTGGAAAAATTGTACTTCAATTGTCTGCTCAAAGTAATCTTAAGCCAGTGACTTTGGAACTTGGTGGGAAATCCCCTTTCATTGTATGTGAGGATGCTGATGTAGATAAGGCTGTTGAGCTGGCACACTTTGCTCTATTCTTTAACCAGGTATCTACATTTGTTGTTTTCAAAGGGGGTAGTGAATCATTGCAAATAATATGTTTTAACAAATTTCATTCTATTTGCAGGGACAATGCTGCTGTGCTGGCTCTCGCACATTTGTTCACGAACGTGTATATGATGAATTTGTAGAAAAAGCAAAGGCACGGGCCATGCAACGGGCTGTTGGTGATCCATTCAAGCAGGGAATTGAACAAGGTCCTCAGGTAAATCAGCACAGATTGCTTTACATGATGTTCCTCTTCTAATTTAATTATCTGTGTAGTATTTGTTTGGAATATGGTTATTACTGTTAGAGCATCCAACCGAAAACCAGTTGGTTACATATAAACCTACCTTGGGTGGGCCTATTCTTTCAATGTGGGATACACGCTTTCTATACACCCTCCTTTACGTGGGACCTAGACTAGCACNGATTGGAATATGGTTATTAGTGTTAGAGCATCCAACCGAAAACCAGTTGGTTACATATAAACCTACCTTGGGTGGGCCTATTCTTTTAATGTGGGATACACGCTTTCTATACACCCTCCTTTACGTGGGACCTAGACTAGCACGCAGGGCTAACAAACAAACAACAATCCATAGCAAGATATTCAAATGGGTAGGAGATTTGACCCACTGACCACCCAAGACCCAACACTAATACCATGTTAGAGCATCCAAGCCAAAACCAAGTGGCTTTGAGTGGAGTGGTTCCTTATGCACATAAACCAATATTGAGTGTCCCAATCATTAAATGTGGGATACAAACTCTCTTTACAATTAGATCATTTCAAATCAAACTTTTGCTAGAATTGAAGAATATAGTGGAAAACCAGTCACTTGCAGTGTTTATTTTACAAGAAAACAATGATAAAATGAATCAATTTGATATGCATGGTGAATTATGCTTTTAACTCGCAAAACACAATTTTCTTACTACAGCTTAGTACTCCAAAGTTCCAACATGAAATTGGGGGGTTTTCGAAATAGTTAAATACTAAGTTTAGCGTTCTTGAATCAGGTTGACTCTGATCAATTTGAGAAGATTCTGAAGTACATAAGATCTGGTATTGAGAGCGGAGCTAATCTTGAAACCGGAGGTGAGCAACTAGGCGGTAAGGGCTACTATATTAAGCCCACTGTTTTCTCTAATGTTCAGGTATGCCTCTTTACTCCCCCAACAGTATACCGATAACCATTTTTATATCCTCAAATTAACTTATCATTTTGTCTAACACGATCTGAGTTATTTTAGGATGACATGTTGATTGCAAAGGATGAGATCTTTGGTCCAGTGCAGTCAATCTTGAAGTACAAGTGAGTAACTAAAAAATTTAACGACATCTCATTGCAAGAGTGTTTGGTGTCTTAACTTGCACCATTTATCTGGGGAGTGCAGGGATCTTGATGAAGTGATACGAAGGGCAAATGCCTCGCCCTATGGACTGGCCGCAGGGGTTTTTACCCAGAACATCGACACAGCCAACACTTTGATGCGAGCATTGAAAGTTGGGACAGTATGGATTAATTGCTTCGATACTTTTGATGCTGCAATTCCTTTTGGTGGGTACAAGATGAGTGGGCAGGGCAGAGAAAAGGGAGAATACAGTCTCAAGAACTACTTGCAAGTGAAGGCTGTTGTTACTCCATTNTACATTACTTTTGATGCTGCAATTCCTTTGGGTGGGTACAAGATGAGTGGACAGGGCAGAGAAAAGGGAGAATACAGTCTCAAGAACTACTTGCAAGTGAAGGCTGTTGTTACTCCATTGACAAATCCAGCATGGTTGTAGATCTCTTCTTTTTTATTTTGACGCTGTTGAAAATAATGATGGTGATGATGATGATAAGATCATGGAATCTGGTTTCCTCCTTATGTTGGAAAGGAAGGATAGATTATGTTGAGCTCCATGGTTGAGTGTAAAGAATGCTGCTTCATTTTCTGTACGAGTGTTTTATTATGCTCTTTTCAATGCCGAGGTAATAATAAAAATATTGGTGTGAATATATATGTGTCGTTTGTAACATGATTAGATTGGGTTTTAGTAACTTATTGAAGTCGTTAATTCTAGCAACCAATCCACGTAACTGCATTGTTTGTCGTATAAATCAAGTTGTCGTAAAGAATAGTAACTCGGGCTCTGTTATGCTTATCTTAATGGATCATCTCTTAAGACTCCGTTGCCTTGAGTCCACTTAGAGTTCCTTGAACCATGCTCAAGGCCGAAATTAATCTTTTCCGGTCTCNTTAGATTGGGTTTTAGTAACTTATTGAAGTCGTTAATTCTAGCAACCAATCCACGTAACCGCATTGTTTGTCGTATAAATCAAGTTGTCGTAAAGAATAGTAACTCAGGGCTCTGTTATGCTTATCTTAATGGATCATCTCTTAAGACTCCGTTGCCTTGAATCCACTTAGAGTTCCTTGAACCATGCTCAAGGCCGAAATTAATCTTTTCCGGTCTCTTTATGCAGAGGTACCTTAGAGATTCAAGAGGGGCTCAAGGTGCATAAAACTGATGAGTGTTTCGTTATTTCTTTCACAGCAGAATATTTCTTCACAACTAGATGTTTAGAAATTCTGAATTACACAACAATAACTGATGAGTTCTGACAGCGGTCTGCAATTATGGTTTAAGATAGGTCTATAAACCCATTGTAAGTGTATAGAGCTNGTGGCTCAAGGTGCATAAAACTGATGAGTGTTTCGTTATTTCTTTCACAGCAGAATATTTCTTCACAACTAGAAGTTTAGAAATTCTGAATTACACAACAATAACTGATGAGTTCTGACAGTGGTCTGCAATTATGGTTTAAGATAGGTCTATAAACCCATTGTAAGTGTATAGAGCTAATAACCTACAAAGAATTTGGTCCAATTATTTTTCAATAAGACAACAGATGTGATTTTTCTCTTCTTTACACCTCTATCTTCTGCACTCTGGTGGAAGGACTTTATACCTGGATGTATCTTTGCAGTATGAGTAAAACATGTGCTTCCCTCTAGCCCAATCCAACCCTGTTATCTGCTGCCTTGATAGCTTGGCAAACTCTTCTCCCTCCACAGGGTCTAAGCTTGAGAGGCTACTCTGAGAACACGCTGGGGCTGAATCCTTCTGATGAACTATACAGCCTTCCAGTTCCAGCTCTCCAACTGATGCCACAAATGGTGCATAGTTATAGTTGACAGGGTACTTTCCTCCATTAGTTGCCCACTGTGATGCATCCCATATTGTTGTGTAGACTGACATTGGTTTTGATGGATAAACAGAAGCTGTAGCAGTATTGTGGATAACCTCTCTTACAGGTATGTTGTCTACTAGAAACCTGCATTATTCATTAACAAATTCAGAATCTTGAGGAAAAGAGAAGAAAAGAAAATTATTAATTTGATGAATTATTGTTATCAAACACTTCTAGAGCTGTCGATGGGCCAGGCCGAGTGCTAGCTCGCGAATTATTTCACACGGACTAGCCCCTACCCATGGACAGCCCTAAGCAAGTTGTTTGAGAGTCTGAGACTATTATCTTACACTATATGATGATTGTTCCATAGGATGCTGTATTCATGAAACTGCAACGTTGGGTCAAACCAGAGGTAGAATTTCTCTTCTCTTCCTGTGCTAACACTTCCATTACCATACATANGCGACTATTATCTTACACTATATGATGATTGTTCCATAGGATGCTGTATTCATGAAACTGCAATGTTGGGTCAAACCAGAGGTAGAATTTCTCTTCTCTTCCTGTGCTAACACTTCCATTACCATACATATTTGTTTGCAGGACCCAGTCTCTTCCCTTCTCATGACCAAGCAATTCAAAGTCAATCTCATCGTGGTTGTGTGGGTAAAGATCTGCATTAGACAACTGAATATGGGGAAAAAAACATCTTCATTAGATTATAAAATATGCCCGTTCTCTCACTTCAATGGGTTACAAAAAACCTTGTCTTAACAATCTCATTGATAAGACAGTCTGTTAGACTGTTAGTCTATTGCTGTTAGTCTACAGCCAGCCATTCAATTCTGTCTGTTAGTCTATTGCTGGTTCCATGCATGTTCACTTGTCATGCCAACTCAAAACCTTGTCTTATCAATCTCATTGATGATTGATCAAACATTTTTTTTTTCAGTCATGTAGATAAAAAATGCAGCCCGGCATCGAAATTCCTGTCACTGTTGGGTTTAGGAAGGGATTAAATGTACTCGCTCCTAACCCATTTGTAGAAAAACGATTTCTGTTACTCAAACCCATAACGTCTATGCTATATAGCCCTGTTTAATGAATTATAGGGTCTGACCAATTGAATAATTGTCAGGTTATGCATGATATTGAATCATTGCAGACATGAGCAAGTACTTCTACCATATATACTAAGGAAGAGCTTACATAAAAGGCCACTACAACTCCAGATGTAAAACCTGCTGGGAGCTTTATTGCAGCACTGAAAAATCCATAGTAATATCTGTTCTTTGAGGCCAATCCAGACCCTATAAAGAAAGACAAGGACAAAAGGATAAGAATAGTAAAAAAAAAATATAACCCAATGCACGACACTCCCATTAGTGCGGGCGTTACCAGAGGATTTGTCTAAAGTAAGATCAGCAGAGGACCCATTATGCATCAAACGGATATGGTAGCCTCCAAAAACTTCAAAAAATCCCTGATTAACTGAGAGATGACTGAATCGATCTGTTAATTGCTCCACACTAGGCAGTGTGTAAATCACGCCACGTGACGAAACCTCGACTATAATGCTAAAGATTAAGAGGCTTGACAAAAGTAATTTTTCTTGCAAAAATGCCATATTTTCTATTTGATGCATGCAGATAATATTGTGATATTCTGCTATATATAGGGAGCTGAAGTTCCTTGATCTGGGGCTTGGCTGTTGCAAGCTGGCTATGCCTTCTGAGAATCCCATTTAATAGGTGATGATGAAATTATGAGGGCAATTATTAGGAATTCAAGTGGAATGAATATGACATGTTTGGAAAGCATGTAGGTCCATTGCATAGGAGAGTCGTATTGGATTAGGTAAATTTCGTTTCAATACTAACCACAATTGTTCAAGTCATAGTAGTCATATCCATTAACATTATTCTACGATACAATACAAATGAATTTCTAGTCATATTCAATATGTTTTTTTCTCTAATATTTTGTCTATATCCCCCCGATACCATTCTGTGATACTATAAATGTTGATTGCTCCACGTATCTAAAACTACCTAGTTTTGGCCATGGCCCTACATCACCACTTGCCAACCTATNCTGTTAATTGCTCCACACTAGGCAGTGTGTAAATCACGCCACGTGACGAAACCTCGACTATAATGCTAAAGATTAAGAGGCTTGACAAAAGTAATTTTTCTTGCAAAAATGCCATATTTTCTATTTGATGCATGCAGATAATATTGTGATATTCTGCTATATATAGGGAGCTGAAGTTCCTTGATCTGGGGCTTGGCTGTTGCAAGCTGGCTATGCCTTCTGAGAATCCCATTTAATAGGTGATGATGAAATTATGAGGGCAATTATTAGGAATTCAAGTGGAATGAATATGACATGTTTGGAAAGCATGTAGGTCCATTGCATAGGAGAGTCGTATTGGATTAGGTAAATTTCGTTTCAATACTAACCACAATTGTTCAAGTCATAGTAGTCATATCCATTAACATTATTCTACGATACAATACAAATGAATTTCTAGTCATATTCAATATGTTTTTTTCTCTAATATTTTGTCTATATCCCCCCGATACCATTCTGTGATACTATAAATGTTGATTGCTCCACGTATCTAAAACTACCTAGTTTTGGCCATGGCCCTACATCACCACTTGCCAACCTATTTTCATACTGGGGTAAAGTCAATAAAAGTTGGTGTGAAAGCAGAAACCAAGGCTGGACACCACCATTTTCATCAGAGTCACAACTCATATTGGCTTATTAGAAACTACCCCAAAGAGTAGGCAAACGGCTCCTCATTGGTATTTGGCACAACCTTGCTTGCATTAATGTTAGGCAGGCTAATTTGGTGCTAAAAGTATTAGGTGGTTAAGTCTACTCTCTGGTAAGTAAGAGATTTCAGTTGCAAGTAAGAGGTTTCAGGTTTCAGTTTCAAGTCAGTCACCCTTATTCTTCAAGGAACATATTCTTAAATTAGTTCGAGTTACGACGATCGATCTCAGAGATTAATGAAATAATCGACNTATTTTTTTCTCTAATATTTTGTCTATATCCCCCGATACCATTCTGTGATACTATAAATGTTGATTGCTCCATGTATCTAAAACTACCTAGTTTTGGCCATGGCCCTACATCACCACTTGCCAACCTATTTTCATACTGGGGTAAAGTCAATAAAAGTTGGTGTGAAAGCAGAAACCAAGGCTGGACACCTCCATTTTCATCAGAGTCACAACTCATATTGGCTTATTAGAAACTACCCCAAAGAGTAGGCAAACGGCTCCTCATTGGTATTTGGCACAACCTTGCTTGCATTAATGTTAGGCAGGCTAATTTGGTGCTAAAAGTATTAGGTGGTTAAGTCTGCTCTCTGGTAAGTAAGAGATTTCAGTTGCAAGTAAGAGGTTTCAGGTTTCAGTTGCAAGTCAGTCACCCTTATTCTTCAAGGAACATATTCTTAAATTAGTTCGAGTTACGACGATCGATCTCAGAGATTAATGAAATAATCGACGCAAAGTTGGATAAAAAAAATTAATAGGACATGCATAGGTACTTGAACTTTGGCTCCTGCTTTAAAATGGTCGATGTTTAATTTTTTTAATTTAACCCTTCAACTATCAATTTCATGTGAATAAATTCATTTTGCCTATATCACCCGTTGAAACAACGAAAGCACATAAGGTGCACAACCATATAATTAATATACAAATTAGTCTCCGTTTATTCTAATGGGTGAAATGAACGAAATGATTTTATTAACAAAAAATCAATAATTAAATGACCAGAGGCAAAGTTTAAGAATTAATACCCTAATAANCTCCATTTTCATCAGAGTCACAACTCATATTGGCTTATTAGAAACTACCCCAAATAGTAGGCAAACGGCTCCTCATTGGTATTTGGCACAACCTAGCTTGCATAAATGTTAGGCAGGCTAATTTGGTGCTAAAAGTATTAGGTGGTTAAGTCTGCTCTCTGGTAAGTAAGAGATTTCAGTTGCAAGTAAGAGGTTTCAGGTTTCAGTTGCAAGTCAGTCACCCTTATTCTTCAAGGAACATATTCTTAAATTAGTTCGAGTTACGACGATCGATCTCAGAGATTAATGAAATAATCGACACAAAGTTGGATAAAAAAAATTAATAGGACATGCATAGGTACTTGAACTTTGGCTCCTGCTTTAAAATGGTCGATGTTTAATTTTTTTAATTTAACCTTTCAACTATCAATTTCATGTGAATAAATTCATTTTGCCTATATCACCCGTTGAAACAACGAAAGCACATAAGGTGCACAACCACATAATTAATATACAAATTTGTCTCCGTTTATTCTAATGGGTGAAATGAACGAAATGACTTTATTAACAAAAAAATCAATAATTAAATGACCAGAGGCAAAGTTTAAGAATTAATACCCTAATAAATATGTAATGATAGATACATTCCATTAGTGTAAATCATTATTAGGTTTAAATATGGATTGTCCATCATCAATCCTTCTAACATTGAGATGAACAGACAAGCATATATAAATTATGTTATTTATTGTCAATGGCTCTTAATTTCCATCAAAGTTGTAAGACTGAAAATCAACCCCCGCCCCCACCCTCACCCGCCACTTGCACATATGAAATTTGGTTTGACAACGAGGTAATTGATGTGTACAAGAATCCATGTTTAGGTTGGACCGAGTAAAGTTAGCAATTTGCCTAATGATTATTGGTCTCGTTGTTAGACTTCAAGATGTGAGTTCGAATCTCATACGGTCTCTCTCAAAAAAAAAAAAAAATTCCTTTAGTGCCATGTTAGGGGTTTTTGCCCATTCTTGCTACTTAGTGGGATTTTTTTACCAAACAAGGGAGTTTTCGCACTTAATTTTAAAATTGATGAAATTTTTTAGAGTTAGTTTTCAAATACAACCAATCATGCAAAACGGGCGTCAGTTGAATTGGCATTTTAAACGTGTCTGATCTATAATATAAAACATGACAGATTTTAATAAGTTCATTTGACGGTTTCAAATACACTCATTTAATGGTCACCAACATTCCTTTTAAAATAATTCAGATTGCACCATACCTTCAGGTATGAGTTACCCCTAATTTTATTATAAAGGTGTGTCAGTTAAACTTACATATTTTATTTTTTCAACTAGTAAAGATTATATTTGAAATAAAGCGTTTTGCTAACATAGGCTAACCTCTACAAGCCCGGACCCAATGAAGACGCTTATGGTCCATTTCCATCATTTTTCATTTTAAACTAGTTAAACACACATAAAATATTAAAAATTATATCTTATATTTTTTATCATTATACTGCTAAACAAATGACCCTTTAAAGGCTGGCCCGTGCCTAACTTAGCATGGATCAAGCTCTGTCCCATAGATTTTAGGGTTAAATTGGTATTATAGGCCACTATTCAAGCATGGGCCTTAAAATTTATGACTTGGGTTGGGCGGACCTTCCAGCCCATGGACATACCTATAGGATGGCCAGACTCCAATCTTGGGCCTTTGGGCAGCAACTTTGCCGGTTGGGCTAGTCCTCTCTCTCTCTCTCAAACTTCCGTTGTTTGTTTTAAAAAATGAATAATGTTGTGGGGTCCTAATATCGTGGCGCGCAATAATATTCAGATGGTATGGTCTCGATAAAAAAAATTCTAATATTTGTAATTATTATAAGAGTAATATCATGTTGACTAATAATAAAAATTAAATAACGTGACAATGATATGATTAGATAGAGTTTGAATTTAAAATAAATAAAGTGAAAAAAAAAACACCTCGATATTAATGGATTGATATAAACCCTAAATGTGATATGAAATCTCGTAAACGACCTCAACATACTATAAGTCATGTTATACGCAATTATTAATGCATTAAACTATGAGTTAAGTAATTTTCATAAAAATACGATTTAAACACAAAGCAAACGTGATACGATAAGACTCATTATAAATTTTAAGATTAATCTTATTTTGTATTTTGAAAGATATTTTTTATTATTAATTTGAAATTTAAAATTTTATAAATTAGTAGCAATGTGGATCTGCCTCAAACTGTTGTTTTGTTTTTCGTCATAAATTGAAGCACGTGAAGTATAATTGTGCAAGAATTTTTCAGGTANGGCTCATTATAAATTTTAGGATTAATCTTATTTTGTATTTTGAAAGATGTTTTTTATTATTAATTTGAAATTTAAAATTTTATAAATTAGTAACAATGTGGATCTGACTCAAACTGTTGTTTTATTTTTCGTCATAAATTGAAGCACGTGAAGTATAATTGTGCAAGAATTTTTCAGGTATGATGATGAGGTATGCCCATCATTGCAACTCTTCTTATGTTATCAATTTGACACCATTTTTTTGTATAAAAAATAGAATTTCTTTAATCAAATACATGTTAATCTTACACATGAGACGCCAACAATATTTGAATTTACACATAAACTCATATCTGAAATATTTTNACACCATTTTTTTGTATAAAAAATATAATTTCTTTAATCAAACACATGTTAATCTTACACACGAGACTCCAACAATATTTGAATTTACACATAAACTCATATCTGAAATACTTTTAACTCCACATGTTTCAGTTTATGATAAAAAATTAAACAATAGTATAAACGAAATTTACATTGCCATCAATTCATAAGATGAGGGGTATAAATTAAAATTTATAAGATTTAATAGTGCAAATTGAGAATTAAAATATTTTTGAAAATACAAAATAAAATTAACCTTAAACCTGAATTTGATGGGATCAAAATAACTGGAAAAAAAGTCTATTTTTGGTCAATTATTACACGGTACAAGTTTCAAACCCGCGGCAAATAATGTCACGATGTACATCACATTGGTGTCGGCTTCTCACTGTGCACGAGCTTCTCACTATATTTCTCTCTCTACGTGTCACTTTGTCATTAGCTCATGAAACTCCCCACGAAGCCGTCATTCCAAGCACCCCATATCTCCCAGGTTCCGATTGACACGTGTAACCATCTTCACCCGTGAGATCTTAAAAACCCCACCATCAATCCATCATATCCAACCACGTGTCCTCCCTACTGTCTTCAACGACTAACCTATATATAGAGCTAACTACTTTCAAGCCCATAAGCCCAAACAAATCTCAGAAGTCATAAGTCAAAACACAAACCTTTCTTTCTTTCTTTGTGTTGTATAGTAAATCTTGTTCTTGTATAGCTTCTTCTTCTTCAATGGTTAAAAATTCAGAAGTGTTCAGTCGCCGGATTCTAACATTTCCGGCGGTCCGTCCTTGTGGGTCAGTCTCATCTACGACCCTTCTCGCTTCCTTGATCAATCTAGCCCACATAATATGTGGTTACAAATCAAAGATCATTTACACCAATAGGCGAAATTCGAGAGAATTTATTCGTCTAGTCGAAGTTCTTCTTATTTTTCTTGAAGAAATCCGTAGTGGGTCTTCAGAAATTTCAAGTTCAGTTTTTTTGAGCTTGTCTGAGTTACATTTCATCTTCCAGAGAGTTCAATACTTACTGGAGGACTGTACACGCAATGATGCTCGAGTTTTGATGCTAATGAAGGCCGAGCAAGTTTCAAATCAGTTTCGAGTACTGATAAGAGCGATCGCATTGGCTTTGGAGATTTTGCCGTTGAATTCAGTGGATGTTTCTGCTGAAGTAAAAGAGTTGGTTGAGTTGGTGAGGAGGCAAGCAACGAAGGCTCGGTTCGAAATCGAACCGAACGACAAGCGTGTTTCAGAGAAAATTCTCACGATTTTGAGTCAATTTAAGGAACAAATTGTTCCGGAACCAAGTGATTTGAAATGGGTTCTTGGGAATTTGGGGATTAGAAGCTGGAGTGAGAGTAACAAAGAGGTCAAGTTCTTTGACTCCGAAATTGGGTTGGAGTGGTTGACTACAGAGAAGAGAGATGTGGGAATTCTCAGTAGTTTAATGGGGTTCATGATCTACTGTCGATGCACACTGTTTGATGCTGTGGAAAGTGAAAGCATTCGGCAATTTGATCGTTTTTGCAGCAGTGAAGTGATTAAGTGTTTGAATGTGGATGATTTCCAGTGCCCGATTTCGCTAGAGATCATGACTGATCCAGTGACAGTTGCAACTGGGCATACCTATGATCGGTCTTCGATCTTGAAGTGGTTCAGGTCCGGAAATCGGACCTGCCCGAAGACTGGGAAGAAGCTCATATGCACTGATCTAGTGCCCAATTTGGCTCTGAAGTTGCTTACCAAACAATATTGCTTGGAGAATTGCATTCCATTTGCTGATCATCAAGAATCGGAGATGCGGAATCGTGACAAAAAAGGGACAGTTATTGCAGGCAGTGTTTCAACTGAAAAGGCCGTGAAAATGGTAGCCAATTTTCTTGTTGGCAGGCTTGTGGATGGAACAAATGAAGAGCAGAACAAAGCTGCTCATGAGATTCGTTTGCTCACCAAAACAAGCTTTTTTAACAGGTCTTGTTTGGTTGAATCTGGAGCAATACCACACCTATTGGATCTTCTCTCTTCAGCTGATTCTTTAACCCGAGAGAATGCAATTGCAGCGCTATTGAATCTCTCGAAGAACGCCAAAAGCAAAAGAATAATTGTTGAGAATGGGGGATTGGAACTAATACTTAATGTTCTGAAGGATGGAGCAAGAATGGTAGCCCGACAGCAGGCAGCCGGTGTGCTGTTTTACCTAGCTTCAGTTGAGGAGTATCGCATTTTGATTGGGGAAAATCCAGAGATTATTCCATCTCTAATTGAGTTGCTCTGGGATGGAACGAATCGGGGCAAGAAAAATGCACTGGTTGCAATCTTTGGACTCATAATGTACCCTGATAACCATTGGAGGGTACTTTCAGCTGGATTAGTCCCCTTGCTGGTCAATCTTTTGCCATCTTTCGAAAGAGAAGACCTTGTGATTGATTCTATGGCTGTTTTGGCAACTTTAGCAGAGAAGCTTGATGGAACAATGGCTGTCTTGAGTGCTGGAGCTTTACCCTTGATTGTTGGGATTTTAAGTTCTTCCACATCAAGGGTGGCAAAGGAGTACTGTGCTTCCTTGTTGCTGTCTTTGTGCATTAATGGTGGTGCAGATGTGGTTCCTGTTTTAGTAAAGAACCCATCTCTCGTGGAATCATTGTATTCCCTACTCACCGAAGGCTCGTCTCGAGCAAGTAGGAATGCCAGTTCTCTCATCAGAATCCTGCATGATTTCAATGAGAAGATCTCCTCCGGCTTGATGACTCCAGCTCTTCCACGAGAACAATTCATCCACGTGCGGTGACTTTACAACTTTCTGTACGTACGTAAAATTGTTGTGCAGGGATGCTTGGCTTTAGTTTCAGAGTGATTTCATGATGTTAGCTCGGTTTTTTCAAGAGCTAATCACTAAACAGCTTCTATTTTTTGATGAAGCTTTGTACGAAAATATGATTGTATTGTTATTTGTAATATGATTCTTTTTTCTATTGTTAATAACAGTAAGAATAATGTTTTGTAATGTAAATCATCTACATTGTAAATCTCAAAAAGAATAACTTTTGTCACTTAAATTCGCTGTGTTGGGGTTGGATTTCAGTAATCTGTTCACATCAACACACACACGCACACTCTGTTGTTTGGGAGAGCCGGATTTTCTATGCTGGTTAATTATTAATACTGATTTGATTTTTTCGAGAGCTAAGTGTCTGTTAGCTTCTGATTCTCATGAAGCTTTGTGCAAAACCACATATGTACCATGATCACCTCTCGTCACCCTAAGAACATAAGACTCAGTTATAGTGCTATCAAAGATGCCCTTTGTAAGTCTTAATATAGACAGGAATGATTCAGTCAACCTAGGAAACATTTGTGAGATGTGGTGTAAAAAATTCAGGCTTGTTGAAGTGTCAAGAGCCTTCTCTAGTCTTGCAACCACTTGTGCCATGGATGGCACTTGCAGCTTAAGCCCTGTGCACGACAAACTAGCTTATGTATCAGTTCAAAAGCTTCAACTAAGTATTCCCCATTAAGTCTAGGATCAGAAAACTCTGTTATATTAACCCCCCCCCCCCCCCCC